AAGTGGTACCTATAACGTCAGTATATAACTTTCAATTTATTTTTATAAAGTTATTGACGTCAAAAGAAATTATAAATAAATTAAATGTACAATTATCTGAAATATTGTAACATTGTCTTTAGGGTCGTTTACCGGACAAACAGCTTACGTGACCACTAGCACGACCATAATGACACTGACCCCGAAAGATCAAATATACCCTATTGTTATTAAAATAGAAGCTACATTCATATAGCATACTTAATAATAATACCGAATTGTCATAATTATATTGAATTCTATACACTTGTATACAATTTAAAAAGAATTAAACAAAGAGTTGGGCGTAAATATGTATCAAGGTGTTAAATTATCGCACGCAAAATACGTTTCTTTACGAAACAAAAGAAGTACTTCGTTGAATGTAGGTGTGGTTTGATTACAATTTTTTTTGTTGTTTTGTTATTGTTATTCTCTTCTTTATAAGTTTATATTACAGAGAAATAAACTGCAGTAACACTTATATAAATGTCTCATCATTCCATTTTATTTAAGAAAACAGATTATATGTAAAAAAAGAAGAAATTAATAAGAACAAAAAGAAATTTATAGAATTCTTAAAGAGAATTGCTATTTAGTTGAATTCTGTGGGGTTTCTTACGTTACGCCATAAACCATACCAACCAACCAATGTTAAAATACGCAATCAAAATTTCATCCAAATCTTATGTATTATAAACGTGTAAGACACAAATTCATTGATTTTTATGTCGGTATAAAACGTAATAATCATAGATACGTAATTCTTAATGAATAAACATTAATGTACAATTTTCAAATTTAGTATTATGTTAATTGTACATTAGGATGCATGCAACTAGTTTTTGCGCGTGACCATCCGTAAGTCCTTTCCGGTCAGTGGCTATTCTTTAGAAAATGCATTAGATGTCAAGGTGATATGTTAAGACAGGAAATAAATATTGCATATCAATTATGCATTTATTCAATGATTTTATTAATATATTTTTCAATAATATTATAGAATAGCGGTCGACCGCGACCCCGTCCACGCGAAATAAAAAAAAACATAATTGTTCCATATGTATGCCAAATTTCATCGAGATCTGTTCAGCTGTTTTGGAGATACCTTCAAACAATATCCATCCATCTAAACATTCGCATTTATATTTTTATAATAGTAAAATAAGTAGTAGAAAAATATGTAGTGTTAGGTTTACTGTGATTTTTTTTCTTGCAATAAAGTAAGCCTAAAATTAACATTAATATTGAATTCTTTGATTATAAATTAATATTTTGCAAGTACACAATATTGAAATTGCAAAAGGCTAACAAGTTTTAAAGGTATTTATATTATTTTGCTTTTACAAATTATACTGTAGTTGTCGTTCAAATAAGTGTAATTTATTTACTTGTTTATTCTAAACCTGTTTTTATCTATAGTGATATTGATATTTTGTTTGACGAAGGATCTCAGGAAATTAATGTGCGAGTACAATCTCCCTTCAATGAAAATTATTCATACGTGCGTAATATTACGACCTATTTTGTACTAAATAAATACATTTTTATTACCATAAATTAAGATACTATGAGCTATTTTAACTTTGTGTGTTCGAATAATCTGACTTTTCATTTAATGCATTTTGCAATCAGTTCTCTGTGGAGTTCTGAGGTGTTCAAAAGGATTGTACTATCAGGGCATTTGGCGGTATACCATAAAGCATTGAGACGACAATGTAGAAACTAAAACCAATCTTATTAGTAAACAGTATTACATTAAACTTTATGTGATACAAAACAAATTAAACTTAATATTAAAATTGTATAATACAATATAATTTTCAACAGTGGTAGAGCCCGCTTTAACATCTTCGCACGAATCGGCCCGGCTCGCCCGGTGAAATACCACGACCAAACAGAAGACAGGCGTCAAGTGGAAACAATTCCGCGTTTCGTCTGATGAGTGTGCGTCGCGGATGCCTAATTTAGTCCTCTTTCCCTTCTCACCTTTTTTCTTATAAGGAAAGGATGAGAAGTGGAAGTGGACTTTCCGGATGAGAGGATGCATGTAAAGGGAAAATATTTTCTTTCTGTGCATCCTCTCCTCTATGGGCAACGGTCACTTCGCTATTTCAGCGATTTCAGGTGGCCGCTCGCTCGATTGCCACCTTATGATATAAAAAAAACTTAAAATGTCTTACGACTAAGGGATATAGCAATAGTACTATTTTCTACTCAAAATAAAACATATTTTCCTAGAAGACAACATTTATTTGATTATAAGGTAATCATATTACTACAGTAAAAGAATTGTATAAACAGATATTGAAATGAATGTTAGCCGTTTCAACTATTAAGTACAGTACAAGGGTATTAAGTTGGCACGTCGACTAGAAGAGTACTCTTGTTTATGACGTATCAAATCAAATGCCGGATACAGCTAGGCGTGTAGGCACAGGCGAAGAATTAAATTCGCTACCCACTT